CCCAGCCCCCAACGAAGTCGGTTGTCGCAAACGTCGTTATTGAATTTGCAAGGAAATGAGCTTTCTGCGCATGCGTATTTTCGCCACGTGGAAATGCGGCCACTTTGCTGTCAAATTCATCTCTAGGATTACTTTCAAATTACACAACAATAAAAGTCATAAAGAGAACGGTCGCCATCGTTTTGAATTGGTATGCCATTGATATTGGCCATGGAGATATCACCTTTTTACAATTGTGCGAAAGGCTGGCGGTGGCCGAAACATTTCTGTGACATTCTGTACAAAGCAGCACATAAATACCGGGTTTTCTGTAGCGAAAAAAGGGTCGACAAGGGCGTCGTGGTATTTGGTGGGCTGAAGGTCGGACAGGCCACCTGACAGTTTAGCTGCTTCGTGTGAGTTGAAGTTGACAAAATGGCATCGTCCGAAATGACCTTTAATAGATTTGGTAGTATTGAGCATATCTTTGCATCATTTTTTTAACATTTCTGTGAAGTGTTCAAAATGCTTTAATATTCTGAGAATACAAATAAAGACACACTGTTTGATTGATATTTGTTTTATTGATTGCTATACCAAATGAATGCATGAAATAACCTTGAATAGATTTGGTAATATGAAGTATATCAATTCATGACTTTTTTTTTACATTTCTACGAAGTATTCATAATGCTTTAATATTTTGAGAGCATGGATAAAGACATATTGTTAGTTTGATACGTGTTTCTGTGGTTAAATTTGTGTTTCCAGCTGTATACTGACAACATTCCTTTACTTAAGCAGTTTTTTTTTTTTTTTGGACTGTTTTTTTTTTTTTTCGCCCTCTCGCACCGATTTTGGGGTACCCAGAGGATGTCATCCATAAAAATAAAAAAGTGTGGCCTAATGGTTGTTAGCATAAGCAGCCATGCAGCATGCGGGAGCAACTATTCCTCCTGCTGACGTAATCATTTACTGATACAAAAAAACATCATTGTCTCTTAATTTTGACAACTTGAACTAACAGTGTATTACTCTGTCATTATGTTATATGTACACTTTGTGTGTGGATATTGCTTTATATTGAAGTCCTTGTGAAATTATATATATATATATATATATATATATATATATATATAATCCTGAAGTTAAATTAATTTTTTTGGAACATAAGCAAAAAGCTCCAAACTTTACCTACCCTTACACTGATCAAGAGTTTTTCAATTGATGGTTTTAAAAAATAAATTCAAGTTAACTATAAAACCTGCATTTAAGACTTATTTAAAATAAGTCCAGACTAAGAAAGTCCAGGTCATTCCTCAGACTGCATTCTGATATTTTGTTTGTCTACGTGGTTTTTGTCCCTCATTGACATAGTTCTGATAAAACTTATCTGTCATTTATTATCTCATCATGTGTTTGTCAGCTGATAGGTCCAGGGAATTTTAAGGTCTATATTTTTCATATTGTCATAAGATTTTGTTCAGGATTAAGTTACTTCCCTATCTCACCTCAAAATAGAAAGCGGTTACATTGCCAATAGGTGCTCCAAGGTCTTTATGCTTATGCTTAGGAATGAGAAATATAAACACCAGTATTTTATATTTTTGGGAAGGTTATTATTGTATTAAATCAACAGAAACGTAAATGATTTATTAAATAATTTGATCAGTTAACCTATATCCACAGTGAAAAGACTAAAGTCAATGATGCTGAGCTGATTTCACAGAAAAAAAAAGAGAAAATCAAATGTAAGACTGAAAATATTGTTCTGCTTTAATATAGGTTAAATTTATACTATTTCCCCCTGATCAGTGTAAGGGGGGGGGGGGAAGAGATCAAAAGGGAACTTATAACTCTTCTACCAAATGTATGTCATAATAAGATTTTGTCTAGACCCAGTTAGCCTTGGTCTTTTATCAAACTGCATTATGACATTCAATTTGTCTGCATGGTTTTTGCCCCTCCTTGACATAGATCTGATAAAAAATGTCCTTAAGTGGTAATTCCATCATGTGTTTTTCAGGTGACTAGTTTAGAGAAGTAACTTTATTAACTTCAAAGTGTTTTATCTGTTGATATATTTTCCTCTTGATGCCAATGATGTCTTTGTTTACATTAAAAAAAAGCACTCGAATTAGAATCACAAAAGTCTTTGAAAATAATTGAACTTACCCCTAGTTTTGTTGTATGAACCATAATTGAGGTGGGTCGTTTAGAAATTCTTTTCACTTAACTTCAGGATTTTAGAGTATACAGGCTTAGTAATCTGTTAATTTATAATATATCTCTATCATTAAGATATCATATATAAGTTTTTTCCCCATAAAAAACTGTACTGACACATTGTGAAACAACTATGCTTAGCTCTTGTCACAAGAGCATCATCATGCAGAATGCCAACAGGGCTCCGTATCTGGAAAGGTTTGCATGTTGCGCACGTGCACAAGCGTCTCGATTACATGGCCCCGTATCTCGAAATAGAATCGGTTATGGAATCGAGACGCTAGCGCACGTGCGCAACATAGCAAACCTTTCGAGATACCGAGCCCAGGTTGATGGTAGTAGGTCCATGAGTAGTTCTCACTGTGGATAGTAATTGAGGGGAATGGCCATCTATAACACATTTCCTGTATTTAATGGTGAATAAATAGGTGGTGATTATGCTGTTAAGCATTAAGTATGTAATATTACATTAAAAATGACCAAACACTATTTTGTGCACTATCAGCATTATTTTTTGTTTTAATATTTTAACTTATTCATTAAAAAAAAAATAATGTTTCTGCTGGCATTTTCAGAGTATGATTTTGAACTCTTATGGGTTAAAACTGTGCTAGATGCTTATTCTGAATGTCTTTGCATATTTTAAGTTTTGTAATAATTCAGTTAAGCATTACGTAATATTGCTTCTGAATCCAAAAAATAACATTTTTGTGCATCATTTTTTTCTGCTTTTTGTCTGTACGTTTAACAGCTTTGCTGCATTTTTTTGTGATAGCGAGAAGTGTAACCAATGGAGGTTTGTTTACAGCATTTTAAAATTTGTGTACTAGTTACCTTGGTGTTGCTTTAACATCAGAGTGGTTGCTATAACAACAATGATGTAAATTCCTATTTCCGATCTGTTTCAGCTGGTAAGGAGACAAAATAACCCTCCATTAGAAAATATAGTAGAGCTAGAACTGGTCAAAGGGAACAAAGGTAAGGTATAATAAAGAATGATTAATACCGTGTATCTATAAGGTATTAAAGGATTGATTTTATGTGATTAATACTGTGCATCTGTAAGGTTTTAAAGGATTGATCCTTACCACCTGCCTGCTTTGTTAGTAGATTGTTCAATGTTGATGTTTTTGTTATCATTGTCTTTATCACTGTTAATTAAGTAATTTGAATCATGACGTGCATTCTGCAAGATTATTTTTGACTCATTATTTTTTTTTTGTCTCATAGTCATCTTATGATGAAAAATCATCAGAATCATATAACAAATCCTATAACAAATCTCTAAACTCTGCATCCTGGAAGAGTATGTAGACAGAGTAGGGCAGTGTTTGAATAAAACACTTTAGTTGAACTGGAGTAACCTTAGTAAAGAGGAACGAAGAGAAAAGATTCCTTCTCTTTTGGTTTCAGGTCTAGGATTTAGTATTGCTGGTGGTCGAGGAAACCAACACATTCCAGGAGACAATGGTATTTTCGTCACAAAAATTATTGAAGGTGGAGCATCACAACAAGATGGCCGCCTGCAGGTTGGAGATAGACTAATTGCAGTGAGTGTCTAAGATTAAGTTTCTAGTCTTACAGCCAAGTGGTTATTTCAGTTGTACTGTATTGTATCATTGTATCATTGCCTGTTGAATCAGATGATGACAACACAATAAAGGTCAAATGCACCACACCCATGCTCCACCATACACACACATAAATAATAGTTTCTGAAACTGGTGACTGTAAATCACTTTCTGGTGGTTCATTTAGAAATCGCAAAATTTATTTTTAGGTGAATGACGTCAACCTTGAGAATGTAACGCATGAGGATGCCGTAGCTGCATTAAAAGCCACACAGGAGCGAGTGGTGCTGACAGTTGGCAAACCAACCTATCTCCAGAACGCAGACTTTACAGACATGGGTCACTCCCCACAGTCCTCTCCAACACCTGACACAGGTAAGACTACCTATCTCCAGAATACTGACTTTACAGACATGAGTCACTCCCCACAGTCATCTCCAACACCTGACACAGGTAAGACTACCTATCTACAGAACACTGACTTTACAGACATGAGTCACTCCCCACAGTCCTCTCCAACACCTGACACAGGTAAGACTACCTATCTACAGAACACTGACTTTACAGACATGAGTCACTCCCCACAGTCCTCTCCAACACCTGACACAGGTAAGACTACCTATCTACTGAACACTGACTTTACAGACATGGGTCAATCCCCACAGTCCAGACACTTGGAGTTGCTGAAATATTTATGCATCTCATATAGTTGTTACCCTAAAGAAATCCTTATTTTCTCAGAGGAAGGTGGTATAGATGCCCTCGAGTAGCTTAACAAATTTTTATGTCGTCTTTTATTCCAGCTGCTTTAGCTAATGAAGATGTGTTGAAGATGGATTCTGACACTTCTGCCCATGTCTGTTTTTCAGTCCAAATCGTTCAGAAGCCTCCCCCTTCACCTAAACACCAGCCGCCGCCTGCCGTCACAGTGACCAGTAACTCCATGCAGCAGATGACCAGTACACCCAAACCAACGCCACAAGTAGTGGACGAAGATATACCAAGGTGAGAGACTATAGATGGTGCTGTTGGCTGTCATCTTCAAAATATACTGGTTTCTTTTTTACTATTAGTTACATGCTTGTAATGTTTTTCCCCTATGTCAACCACTGTTAATGTCAGCAATTGTTTTATTTCGGAAAAGGGAAACTTATTTTAATGGTATTTTTGTATATAACGTTTATTTATGTGCTGTGTATAACTATTCGTATCTAATGACATTTCCAAGATGTATGTCTGTTACAGTAATGATTATTTCAAAGATGGCAGACACATATCAGGATGATTCAGTCTGTTACAACAGTTAAATATTTATCGTAGTTTCTTAGCAAAGTTTCTACATCAGTATACATGCTATAAGTTGGAGTCCTAAGGATGAGGTCGTGATTGTGTTGTGGATGTGCTGCTGTCTCACCTAGCACAATCAGACCACCTGTGGCAGTTTTACAATGACTAGGTTTTTACTATGTTTTAACACGGTCCAAGAGGATTTATTAAAAAGAAAATGTGGGATAGATATTTCCTGTGCACGTTTAACATTTATGTTTATTGATAGTTCTGGTCTGTTGTCCAGCTGTGTCCAGTAATAAATTAACTGGACATCATTTGACCACTGGTCATTGGGCTACGGCCAGTATTGAGTGGTAGTTGCGGATGCTATTCGGTGATAATATTCAGTGATAATATAACATATTTATGACCAGCTGTGCGTGTGTATGTGGAAAGGGGTTGAGAGGGGTGGAGAGAGAGTCTGCGATATTTTCGATGGATTTACATGTGGGGTGGGTATTTCAGTTGGATGTACGTGTGTGGTATATGTCTGTGTGTGTGCAAACAAATAGACATGCCCACACACACACACACACACGCACACATACTGCCACACGGGTTAAAAAAAAAAACATGTCAAGGTGCCCCACTGCCTGTCTCATTGTATACTATTGAGGGAAATTCTATCCAGTGTAACATTACACCCCGTCTCAGTATCAGTATTCATCAAGATACTAGGGGTTTCCTACCCTCCCAAGACCTCAGCACCAGTGCTTACGTTGTTCATGTTAAGATTTTCTAATTTCTAAAATAAACATTGGATTGGTTAATGTTGCTTTCTTTTACCTGTGCTCAACGAGGCGAGCACCAAGTTTTATTATTGTTTTCACTTCTAACTGCCATTTGGAAGAGTTCATTTTTGAAAGCTAAGAGGGGGGTGTGGTAAGCCTTCTGCATACTGCCTGATTATTACAAGGAATATTTTTTGGCTAAAAATGTCATAAATAAAAATATTTTGAATAGTTTTTCATATTAAACACAAAATGGACCATTTGAGAGGTAGCAAGGAATGCTTATATTGGCCAAGTGTTTGTTGAAAATAAAATGTGAGCAGTTGAATTGGGACCATTGTGATACAGACATAAATGTCACAGTGACTGATTAATGACTGTGAGCTTTATAAGATGGCAATAATATCCACCCCCTGGGGCCTGTTCTCCCCTCCCCCCACAGGTGCCCCAGGTGATTTACCTGACATTATGCCTTAGATAATTAGTGTATGTCATTCCTGAAATCACCTTCTAGCTATTACATGATCTGTAATAATTGAGATGAGCTGGAGGAAACCTATTGGATATCCATACCTGGTGGCTCTGTTATCTCGGTCTGGGGGCCCTGGACAGGTATGATCAATGTTTAACTGAAGCAAGCTTAAGGTGGGAGTCAGATAAGTGTGATTTCAGTCCAGGGCCCTAAAACATGGTTCAGACTTTATTGCTAAAAATCAGGCACTTTATGAGGAGGTGGAGTTCAATTTCCAAAATTTACTCTGTGCACAGATTTTAAATTGTAAGGCCTACTGCACAAATAAATTTTACTGTTAATATTGTAAGTCTCAGAGCATGACTTAAGTGTGTACATTAATGGATATCGGAGTACTTTATGAGTCCAGTGCTACCAACACCATGTGTGGTTGATATAGTTTATGTCATGGCTGAGGGAGCTCATGTAGTAGGGTAATTTGTCACCAGCCCTGAACTAGAATTATATCTAATGTGTGCCGGGGTAATAGAATTTAAACTTAATCCCAGCAGTGAGTGACACGTTGTTACCCAGTGTGTACCTATGGCAGTATGTGTCAACCAGCAAAGAGCGCCGGGCAAACAAAGCCTTCACAAACATCGGGTCACGGATTATTGTGCACCAATCAATTGTTGGCTGTTCAGGGATTGTTATGATAGCTTTGTGTAGCACGGGGTATTAGAGGGTGCGGGCGAGTCGAACACGGAAAGTGAGTCGTTAGTTTGGCTCGTGCCAGAAAGGCGAGGTTGTGTACGTCGCACATGCATACAACGTGTGTCAGCAACCCCCTAGAGAGGGCTGTATACAGTGTATGTACTTCCCTAGTGATTATCACTGATTTATGTGACTGAAGTTATGAGGAGTTACACAGTGAGGGGGACGTATTAGAAAACTACTGACAGGAAGAACTTTCAGACGTAGGTGATATCTGTGAATTGAACTGACTGTTCACCAGCTGTGACCCCAGGGTCGTAGAGTACGCTGGCGTGGATTAACTCCCCTGCTGGTGGCCAGTCGCCGTGGCCAGTATTAGAGAGGACAGTCCATTTATTTATACACTGAGTATACTGACATAGTGGACAGAGGGAGAGAGAGTGTGTGGCCCCAGAGAGCAAGATCAACCTGGAGAGTATCAGAACACTGTATATATCATAGTCAGGTATAGACAGTGGATGAAGTCTGCTTTCCTCGTGCTTGTAGAACTTTAGGGTCCAGGAGTTCAGTTTTAGGGTCCAGAAATCTGTGTTAGGGTCCAGGATTACACACTGGTCCCACATCTACATTTACACAACAGCTGACAGAAGAACACAATAACTTATATGCTGAAGTCACGTCAGATAGAGAGTGCATGCAGCAGAGAAATCTATTAACCTGGGCACTGAATGACTGTAGATTAACAGGTCATTCACTTGGCTAACGGTTACAGAGAGTGACTTAAACCAGCAGGCGGAAATGTTTTGATAACTGACCAGAGGGGTGTTACGTCACCAGTGTAGTCGTACCAGGCTTATATACCCGCTCTCACCAGTCTGACTGGGGTATCGTTTGACCCACCCAGGGGGACATTTTATAGGCAGGGTTACAGCATGGCTATTTGACCATTGGTGGACATTAAGTGACTACAGGACATTAAGTGAACAGGGGGGACAGTTGGGTCTTTATGGACAGTGATTTTGGACATCATCTGACCTGTATCTGGACACAGAGTCTGTGGGCTTCATTTGAACATTGATTTTACCTTGATTTTACACAGCTGTGTCCTTGTGGTCAGTACTTTGAACAAGAAATGACCACATTGGTCAGAATAAAAGTGACTGGACACTTGTGCTACAATTATGGTCAGTATTTCAGCCATATTAGTGGACACATATTGACCCTTAGATCAATCAGATCTGACCGTTAGTAGCTAAGTGACCTTATTAGCGAGAAAATCGTGACACTGATCAATATCCGGGCGGAGTATTACGAGGTGAAAATTGCTGGTAATTATTTCCCATTGGAGGGATATTGGCATATTGATAACTGGAGGCCAAGCTCTGGCATACAAACCTCAAACTTTTTGGGGTTGATAACTACTTACAGTCACCCAGGATATATACTAGTATATAACCGTGCAGTTAAAACAGGAGAGATAAACCACTGTTTGAAGAAAGATATTTCCTGATAGCCTGATTTGTATGTTTTTCACCTCCGAGGGACAAGGAACACATTGTGTGATGTTCTACAAGGGTTAGAGGGTGGACAGAATTTCTCTTGTCAGATATTGAGCTCTGTATCTACCCGTGTTTCTACCTGTCTGTATGTAGACTGCAGGGGGAGGTGAGAGAACATTTACCTGACAGGTGACATACAGGTAACACTACAAGGTGCCACCAGCATATTCTTCCAGTGACAGAGAGACAAAATCCAGGCAAGGAGAGATATACAAACTGACATACAAAAATCAATTAACTTTTTCTTATCCCAGCATCTTCAGCTTTTCTTTGCTGGCACGTGAGTAGGCCAAACAAAAGCTGTGAAATTCTGTCTGCTAGGAAGGGCAGTGCCTTGGTTTAGGATTGGTTAAGGTGAACTCAGGGGTTTGGCACCTGATATGTTGTGAGCTCTTCACATGACAGTGGCTCTCATCTTCTTTACCCAGGACTGCTGCAGCTCTATAAAGTACCCAAAAGAAAACTGAAATAAAAGCACTCAAGGTTTAGTAAGGTCAGTGGCACTAAAATACCCGCTGTGACCGAATGTTGTATGACGACTCCGATTTGTGCTCTGCTCAAGTTGCCAGATTTCTCGGATGTCATTTGGCCACCCGTCATCAGGATAACAGCACACCATAATTGCTATTGATTATCAATTAATAGGTGTGACATTTTTGCAAAAAAAAAAGGAGACTTGAATTAGTTTTGTGATCACAGCAGATATATTGTGATATATGAAGAATTTACTGGTGACTGACTGCTGTAGTGGTATAACTTAGATTCAGAGAATAATGCCAGAGTTGTTGGTTAATGGAAATTGCTAAAGGGATTGACATTTTTGTCGGCGATCAGCGATCCTTAATCTTGGTCGCACATCCAGTTAAAAAGTTCCAGAGTGTGAAAGCTCAATAAAGAAGTGACCAGTTGCTGATGCGTGAAAAACATAAGTTTGGAAGTGTTCAGTTGCAACGGACTGTACTGTTCAGGAGTAAAACTTGAGGTGGTGTACAGAAGTAAGGAAGAAGGTGCTGTGCAGCAGGAAAAGCCAATGCATAGAGTCAAATTTCAGTAGGAAAATTAAACCAAGCCGACACATAATAGCTACTACCTAACCTTGGCAACAGTATCTCTACAGTCAGCATAATCTTCCTCTTGAATAGTGGAGAAGTGTCAACAGTGAAGTGTTTAACACACCACTTATAACAGAAGACAGATAACACCCGCATCTACCACCTACAG